TCCGATTTTCACGAAGTTTGGCTTTTTCTTCATGGTTTTCCCTCTAGATTAATGTGGCATTTAAATCTCGACACCGATTTTTTGGTCGAAATTCATGTCCATATCTTACCCCAAAATTCGTATATAGACATGGGTCAAAAAATACCACCCCCATAACTCGGCCAAATCTCATCCGATTTTCACGAAGTTTGGATTTTTCTTCATGGTTTTCCCTCTAGATTAATGTGGCATTTAAATCTCGACACCGATTTTTTGGTCGAAATTCATGTCCAAATCTTTCCCCAAAATTCGTATATAGACATGGGTCAAAAAATACCACCCCCATAACTCGGTCAAATCTCATCCGATTTTCACGAAGTTTGGCGTTTTCTTCATGGTTTTCCCTCAAGATTAATCTGGCATTCAAATCTCGACACCGATTTTTTGGTCGAAATTCATGTCCAAATCTTACCCCAAAATTCGTATATAGACACCGATTTTTTGGTCGAAATTCATGTCCAAATCTTTCCCCAAAATTCGTATATAGACATGGGTCAAAAAATACCACCCCCATAACTCGGTCAAATCTCATCCGATTTTCACGAAGCTTGGCGTTTTCTTCATGGTTTTCCCTCTAGATTAATGTAGCATTTAAATCTCGACACCGATTTTTTAGTCGAAATTCATGTCCAAATCTTACCCCAAAATTCGTATATAGATATGGGTCAAAAATGACCACCCCCATATCTCGGTCAAATCTCATCCGATTTTCACGAAGCTTGGCGTTTTCTTCATGGTTTTCCCTCTAGATTAATGTAGCATTTAAATCTCGACACCGATTTTTTGGTCGAAATTCATGTCCAAATCTTACCCCAAAATTCGTATATAGACATGGGTCAAAAAATACCACCCCCATGACTCGGTCAAATCTCATCCGATTTTCACGAGATTTGGCTTTTTCTTCATGGTTTTCCCTCTAGATTAATGTGGCATTTAAATCTCGACACCGATTTTTTGGTCGAAATTCATGTCCAAATCTTACCCCAAAATTCGTATATAGACATGGGTCAAAAAATACCACCCCCATAACTCGGTCAAATCTCATCCGATTTTCACGAAGTTTGGCTTTTTCTTCATGGTTTTCCCTCTAGATTAATGTGGCATTTAAATCTCGACACCGATTTTTTGGTCGAAATTCATGTCCATATCTTACCCCAAAATTCGTATATAGACATGGGTCAAAAAATACCACCCCCATAACTCGGTCAAATCTCATCCGATTTTCACGAAGTTTGGATTTTTCTTCATGGTTTTCCCTCTAGATTAATCTGGCATTCAAATCTCGACACCGATTTTTTGGTCGAAATTTATGTCCAAATCTTACCCCAAGATTCGTATATAGATATGGGTCAAAAATGACCACCCCCATATCTCGGCCAAATCTCATCCGATTTGCACGAAGTTTGGCTTTTTCTTCATGGTTTTCCCTCTAGATTAATGTGGCATTTAAATCTCGACACCGATTTTTTGGTCGAAATTCATGTCCATATCTTACCCCAAAATTCGTATATAGACAAGGGTCAAAAAATACCACCCCCATAACTCGGTCAAATCTCATCCGATTTTCACGAAGTTTGGATTTTTCTTCATGGTTTTCCCTCTAGATTAATGTAGCATTTAAATCTCGACACCGATTTTTTAGTCGAAATTCATGTCCAAATCTTACCCCAAGATTCGTATAGATATGGGTCAAAAATGACCACCCCCATATCTCGGTCAAATCTCATCCGATTTTCACGAAGCTTGGCGTTTTCTTCATGGTTTTCCCTCTAGATTAATGTAGCATTTAAATCTCGACACCGATTTTTTGGTCGAAATTCATGTCCAAATCTTACCCCAAAATTCGTATATAGACATGGGTCAAAAAGTACCACCCCCATGACTCGGTCAAATCTCATCCGATTTTCACGAAGTTTGGCTTTTTCTTCATGGTTTTCCCTCTAGATTAATGTGGCATTTAAATCTCGACACCGATTTTTTGGTCGAAATTCATGTCCAAATCTTACCCCAAAATTCGTATGTAGACATGGGTCAAAAAATACCACCCCCATAACTCGGTCAAATCTCATCCGATTTTCACGAAGTTTGGCTTTTTCTTCATGGTTTTCCCTCTAGATTAATGTGGCATTTAAATCTCGACACCGATTTTTTGGTCGAAATTCATGTCCATATCTTACCCCAAAATTCGTATATAGACATGGGTCAAAAAATACCACCCCCATAGCTCGGTCAAATCTCATCCGATTTTCACGAAGTTTGGATTTTTCTTCATGGTTTTCCCTCTAGATTAATCTGGCATTCAAATCTCGACACCGATTTTTTGGTCGAAATTTATGTCCAAATCTTACCCCAAGATTCGTATATAGATATGGGTCAAAAATGACCACCCCCATATCTCGGCCAAATCTCATCCGATTTGCACGAAGTTTGGCTTTTTCTTCATGGTTTTCCCTCTAGATTAATGTGGCATTTAAATCTCGACACCGATTTTTTGGTCGAAATTCATGTCCATATCTTACCCCAAAATTCGTATATAGACAAGGGTCAAAAAATACCACCCCCATAACTCGGTCAAATCTCATCCGATTTTCACGAAGTTTGGATTTTTCTTCATGGTTTTCCCTCTAGATTAATCTGGCATTCAAATCTCGACACCGATTTTTTGGTCGAAATTCATGTCCAAAACTTACCCCAAGATTCGTATATAGATATGGGTCAAAAATGACCACCCCCATATCTCGGCCAAATCTCATCCGATTTGCACGAAGTTTGGCTTTTTCTTCACGGTTTTCCCTCTAGATTAATGTGGCATTCAAATCTCGACACCGATTTTTTGGTCGAAATTCATGTCCAAATCTTACCCCAAAATTCGTATATAGACATGGGTCAAAAATACCACCCCCATAACTCGGTCAAATCTCATCCGATTTTCACGAAGTTTGGCTTTTTCTTCATGGTTTTCCCTCTAGATTAATGTGGCATTTAAATCTCGACACCGATTTTTTGGTCGAAATTCATGTCCAAATCTTTCCCCAAAATTCGTATATAGACATGGGTCAAAAAATACCACCCCCATAACTCGGTTGGTTTTCCCTCTAGATTAATGTAGCATTTAAATCTCGACACCGATTTTTTGGTCGAAATTCATGTCCAAATCTTACCCCAAAATTCGTATATAGACATGGGTCAAAAAGTACCACCCCCATAACTCGGTCAAATCTCATCCGATTTTCACGAAGTTTGGCTTTTTCTTCATGGTTTTCCCTCTAGATTAATGTGGCATTTAAATCTCGACACCGATTTTTTGGTCGAAATTCATGTCCAAATCTTACCCCAAAATTCGTATATAGACATGTCTCAAAAAATACCACCCCCATAACTCGGTCAAATCTCATCCGATTTTCACGAAGTTTGGCTTTTTCTTCATGGTTTTCCCTCTAGATTAATGTGGCATTTAAATCTCGACACCGATTTTTTGGTCGAAATTCATGTCCAAATCTTACCCCAAAATTCGTATGTAGACATGGGTCAAAAAATACCACCCCCATAACTCGGTCAAATCTCATCCGATTTTTACGAAGTTTGGCTTTTTCTTCATGGTTTTCCCTCTAGATTAATGTGGCATTTAAATCTCGACACCGATTTTTTGGTCGAAATTCATGTCCAAATCTTACCCCAAAATTCGTATATAGACATGGGTCAAAAAATACCACCCCCATAACTCGGTCAAATCTCATCCGATTTTCACGAAGTTTGGCTTTTTCTTCATGGTTTTCCCTCTAGATTAATGTGGCATTTAAATCTCGACACCGATTTTTTGGTCGAAATTCATGTCCAAATCTTACCCCAAAATTCGTATATAGACATGGGTCAAAAAGTACCACCCCCATAACTCGGTCAAATCTCATCCGATTTTCACGAAGTTTGGCTTTTTCTTCATGGTTTTCCCTCTAGATTAATGTGGCATTTAAATCTCGACACCGATTTTTTGGTCGAAATTCATGTCCAAATCTTTCCCCAAAATTCGTATATAGACATGGGTCAAAAAATACCACCCCCATAACTCGGTCAAATCTCATCCGATTTTCACGAAGTTTGGCGTTTTCTTCATGGTTTTCCCTCTAGATTAATCTGGCATTCAAATCTCGACACCGATTTTTTGGTCGAAATTCATGTCCAAATCTTACCTCAAAATTCGTATATAGACATGGGTCAAAAATGACCACCCCCATAACTGGGCCAAATCCCATCCGATTTTCACGCAGTTTGGCGCTTTCTTCATGGGTTTCCCTCTAGAGTAATCTGGTATTCAAATCTGAACACCGATTTTTTAGTCGAAATTCATGTCAAAATCTTACCCCAAGATTACATGGGTCAAAAATGACCACCCCCATAACTGGGCCAAATCAAATCCGATTTTCACGAAGTTTGGCGCTTTCTTCATGGTTTTCCCTCTAGATTAATCTGGCATTCAAATCTCGACACCGATTTTTTGGTCGAAATGCATGTCCAAATCTTACCCCAAGCCTACAACCTCGCACACCCACTTGGTAATGTTAAAAACAAAATCCTTTTAAAATAATTTGCACAGTGGCAAAAGCGAAAAACAAAAAACAAAAGAAAGGAAACGGAAACAGAAACTCACAACTCGAAGCTGCCGCAAGTCTAGGGGCTGACTTGGCAGTCAGCGAACTCTTGTCTATTTATGCAAAAAATGCGCGCATATTTTTATATATACATTTATACTTATAATGCCAGGCTGATGAAATACGTGCGGTGGGTAAGCATACACAAGCACACACGTACACACGTACACACACACGTGTGACTTTCCCGATGTCAAATATAATTTTCTTTTTTCGCGTTCATTTTGCACGCAGTCAGGCTGTATAGGAAACTCCTCTGGCTGGCACAAAATCTTGCAGTTCCAGCAGTTTAAACTTTAAGTTTTTCCTGTCAAGAGAGAAGCGAACAATAAGCAAAAGGAATTAAACAAATCTCTGTAAAGCGAAAATGGTGAGCGCATTGAACGGCTTCGGCATGGCCATTGGCTGCATGGACATCACTGGAGCCGTCTTCTTTGAGCTGATGATTATTTACATGCTGTGTCGAAGAAACGGCGCCAGGACAACAGCTGACGATACAAAGGAACAGCAGCAGGGGCACGTGGCAAGTACGCGGTTTAAGGGAGGCCCGTTGTGGCCTGCGATTTCTCACTGTTCCTCAAACATTTCCAGCGCTCTATGGCAACAGGGTACGCCCTTGGATGCTGTGGATTTATCTGCTCCTATTGAATGTGTGGATAGTCGTTTCAATGCTCATGGTTACTGGCATTATATTGGTGCGTAGTGCTCAAACTTGTTTATAATGCGGCATCGACTGATAGCGGCTTTCACAGCATAAGCCGCAGCTGCTGCTGTTCTGGCTGGTCTGGTGCTTTGGCGGACTTATATTCGATGTGGTCTTTGTGGGTCTTTGGATCGTGGAACTGCTATCAGGCGATGCCATTGAAGCCCTGACCAACATTTTGATTTCATTACTAACAATGGGCAAGTTACATCCACCTTCATGCATGCCGTTCTTTATCTAACCCATTTTTGCTGATTTTTTAGCAATTGAATTTTCTTTCATTTACGTTATATACAATATTTATGGGAATTTAACAAAGTTACCCAAGGAGCAAGAAATCAAAGGCAATCCCTTGTTGCGCTTTTCACACTTCTTATTTTAATTTAACAAATACTTATTACAAACAATAAAAATCTTGCTTCGAACATTTAATTCATCTGCTGACTTACTTGGCCTTCAATTCGGCTGCTTTCTGGTCAAGCTGTACCTTGACAATTTTTATTTTCATTGGGAACTCCAGGGACTTGAAGAATCTATAGACGATCAATATGATGCCGATACGAGCCAGTACTTGACCAATGAGTGAGGCATATGCATCAGATATCTCCTGCATAAACTCCTGCTTGCTTTTGTATTTATCGGTGAACACATATTCGTACATATTATAAAACATTTTTCCAACGTCTCCCCACTGTATCTGAGCATAGGCCATAAGCAACCAGATTTTCACCATCAATCTGTGACGCTGTTTGTTGAAAATCTATTTAAGAACTAAGAACTTCATCAATATACAAAATTTACTTCTTACACTGATGATGCCAACTGCCAAGACTCCGAAGCAGAAAATCTTACACATGCCCCCAAACAATATCATAACATCCACCATATCGAACTAATGAGCGAAAAGAGCATTGAGAAGCGCTTGGTTATGGCCTAGACTTGCTTACCTTCATGATTTTGGATAAGTTTACCATCTGAACCATGGTAAGGAATGCGGCGGATGCCTCATAAACAAGCGCCATGTAGCCAGCGCAGTTTATAATTACCGACATTTTAATTTTTCGAGTTTGGCTTGATATCGTTGAAATAACAACAGTTGTTTTATAAACTGTTGCTTATAAAGCATAGACTATTATTTACAACTGTTTTTAAATGGTTTTCAAATATTTAGCCTGCTGATCACAACCAATTTGAAATACTACTTTGCCGTAAGTAAACCAAATCTTAAGGTTGCATAATTATTTTCAAATGCGCAGACAGAATAATACATCTATTTCTTCTATTTGTCTTGCAGCCAAAAGAGAAGTCTTAGAGGTTCGTGACTCCTCTGAGGAAAAGCTGGAAGCATAAGGAACTTCTGCAATTGTTAACTCGGCGCCATTTTTAATTGGAAACTTTATAGTTGCGTTGTGTTTCGCATTCAAGTGCTTTGTAGTTTTTTATAGTCTGCCGTGGGGAAATTGATTCATTTCCGTTTTTTGCTCAGCACTTCCGTTCTAGGTCTGGCGCTTATGAAGCAGACACGAAATCAGCTTAAAGCTAACAGTGGGTAATCCAATATTAAAATGTCGGCTTAGTTCAAATCAAATTCTTGTGCCAAGGCACATTCAAATCAATGGCATTGTCACTGCTTGCCAAGCTGCCAAACTGTCACTTGCAACTCGTAGGAAAGCAAAAATAAAAATATATTTATTCTTTAATAAAGAGAGCCTGGACCGCATCTTGGCTGGCAACGACTCGACTCCACTTCACTCCGCTCTCTAAGGAGCCACTGGCTGTTCAAATTTATTGTTTGCAAATTGAAATTCTTGTCGACACGCACGAGCAACTGCAAAATCCATTGGGAATGCCGGGCAAAAGGCAGCTCCTTCTAGCTGCTTGAAGCTTGTCAACTCGGGCAACGGCTTTGATAGCCCCGTAGATGGGCAGCTCATCATGACTTCTTAGTATTTATTAAGATTTTGATGTGCCATGAAACATATTTCGAAAAAAAAAATAAACAAATATTTTATAGCTGCGTTAACAAAGTCCCAAGGGAAATGAACAAGGAGCTAAAGATGTTCTATGGAAAGTGGAGTTCGACGCTTGATTGCGTTAAAATTAAGCTCTATACACCCCGTATAAGTTAATATATATACCAATGGATGTGTAGAGGATCCAAACTTAAGCAGAAGGCTGGCTGAAATGAAGGTAAGATGCGTGCTTCCAGCGTTTGGGTTTTTATAAATTCTTGAATTGTCACAAACATCCAAAAAACAAATTAATTTTAATCACTTTCTTCTGCTTTTGAGCTGATGAAGAATGTTGAACGCAACAATATTTTTTTACTGGGAGCAGCATTCATGTAATGATGATTGATTTTAACTTGGCGACCTGCGCCGGACTATCCAGCCGTGCGATGACTGATTTTTGGGCTATTGGCGATAAATACATTGTACGGATCGCTCTTTTGACGACACGAAGAATTCGTGACACTCGACATATTACTCTCGCTTCTTGTCGTTGGACTGATTTAATATTTAGCTGTGGAGGTACTCTGTGAAAATAAGGTAAGTACTCCCATGTGCAGCTGTGTGGGTGAGTTCGTAGTGCTCCATTGTGACAAGAGAGAGCGCTCAGCTGGCGATATTCGTTTGCCATAAATCTTTTTATGGTAAACCGTATCGATCGGTTGCCATAAATAGAGCTGAACACTCCCATTTGGAGTCATTTGACTCGCGTTCGTGATGGGGCTACTGTTGCTGTTTTCACTGTTGCTTATTTCATGCACTGTGCTGGCTACTAATGGCAAGTAAAATGTGTGTTTTTGTATCGATGTGATGTATTATCCAATTATTTAGGCCAATATAATGACGAGCCCATGTCTGGTGAAGAATCACACCAACATGCTTTAGGGGACAAACAAGCGACGGGGAAAGCAGAGTTGCGTGGTCCTTATTCAATCGGTATGCACACAGCATTAAAAAGGAATAATACTAGAAGTTTGGTTTTGATTACTTACTATTTTCCAGGCGAAAGCAATGTGAGAAAAAAGAGCGAATCCGAGTCCACAGAAGTGGGATTAAAGGCAAGACATGCTTCTAAGAAGTCACATCGGCCGGCTGATGGAAGTAGTACTATACGTGTTCTTCAAGGACCGCACCATGTTAATAATGGAAATTATGGGCTACGTCGAACAAATGCTAAACGTGTTGAAGGTCGCGTAAGATCTAAAGGCAGAGATAGTCACAGACAGGGTGGAAGGACTGCAGCTGGCGATGGCCAGGGAAGATCCTTTGGCAATAGAAAAGCTGGCAGTGCACTTCACGAAGATAGGGGTGGCAATCACGATGTTTTTTCAGGTAACACAAGGCGCAGTCAAAATGTTCGCACGGAAAGTATAAGAAATAAATGAACTCAACATCGAGCCGGCGGCGTTACTGAAGAGGAAAATAAGAAAACCCAACCCATAATCTGGCCGCGTGAGAAATGGAAGGCGAGTTCAATAATAGTACGACATCTAATTATTTTGTCAATACTTTAACCCGTAACAAGCCGTCGTAAACAATTGATCAACATATTTTTGTTTAAATAATTTATAAGTCCTGTAAAAATAAAATGAGCAATAAAAGGCATAACTAATTAATTTTAACATACATTTTCGACAGTGAAAACTCTCGATTTTCAGTTAAAATTCTTCAGACCTAGGTTATTTCCAATCTGAACACTCAATATTGGCTATTGGTTGAGAGTAATAATTTTAATTGTTTCTGGGTATTGCTGCTGTCGTAATCCGCAGGTGTGAATTTATTAGGCCACATTAGTCATCAGTTTACTCGGTACTCTTACTTGCAAATGTATTTCTATTAACGAGTCTGGTAAACATTTGGAATACTTGAAACACTTTGCAAGCTACTTAGGTTGGCATTTATTGTTTTTTGCGGTGACTAATTAACCGCACGATGTAATTTTAATTTTTACATATCATTTTATCATAGATCGATTCTTTTTCAGTTGTTTCTGTTTGGACTTTATGCGGCATCTATTTTTATTTCCTTTACAATACACAAGGTGCAACGAAAGAGAATCTAAATTGCAATGTCTACGCAGGAAATTGATTGATTTCCGTTTTGCTCAGGTAAAAATGAAAAGGAAGAGCAACCAAACGAATGGAATCAGCTCTAGCAATTCGCTCGAGTCGTTCGAGATTCTGGCGAGCTGTTGTAACCACTCAGTGTATAATCCTGCAGGGCTTAAAGTAGACACATTCACACCATTATAGGACCATAATTTTGGCTTGCAATTAGCCGTTTATGAGGCTGGGCACTATGTTGCACTTACAACCAAATGTTGCCTATGGTACTATGTGTGGGTTGAAGTCTGCCCAGCCAACATAAACTCTGACAAAACATATAACGGAAAGCACATGTTTTTGGCAAATGCATCCAACGGGTGACAGGATATGTGTGCAAGCCGAGGCAAGAGCTGCCAGCTTCCCGGGTTGCTTTCTGGATATGTTTGCATATCTTTCTCAAAGTAAATGGCATTGGCATACGGTGCGTATGTGTGTTACTAAAAGCACAAGACTCACTTGTTACACGCTCAATTAAGCCAGAAATGACACCAGAGCCAACTAAAGTCACGCTTTGTATAGCTTTAAATTTAGCGCTAAGCTCAAAACACACACACACGCACACACACACTCACACCAATATACATATATGTGAATGGCATGGCAAAGAGCCAGCCGTCATACAAATATTTAATAGGAAAATAGTGTGCTTTCAATTTGCGTGTCTGCTTTTGATCTTAAAATATATATTATATGTTTAGTATAATGCTCAAGAGTTTATAAAGACTGTCAATTGTGTAGTTTCTGTAAAGCTTATGCAAAAAATAGATACACTTTATCTTTTGCATTTACTTATCTTTTGCATTTACTTACTAAGAAAATTGCAATTCATTCTCTTGTTAAACTCGCTTAAATGAAAAATTTAGATGCAGAATAATATTGTGTAAGTCTTAAAAGTGTAAAATGGGTTCACATTTGTATAATATCCAGCTGATGAATAGGTATTTTGAGAAGAGTTTGGTAATTGACTGGTATTGTATTTTGTTTTATTGATTCTGAGTAAGGGCTTTGGAAATGCAATTTTCAAAGCTATTCTAAAGCATACGCAGTTTTCTACTGAGCTGCCTAATTTTGCTTTAAACTATGTTTCATGGCTATTTAACAATTTAAAAAAGTGCCACCATAATTACGGCCGCATCCTTTTGCCGTAAGTAAATTATCGAGTACGCAAAATTGCTTTGCCAAGTCGAGCAGGACAAAGCGACTGGCAATTAGCGCAGCTCGGCATGTGGCAGGCTCGCTAATATGCTTAGTCAGGCCAGGTCCTTTGGCAGTGTGGCCCAGGACACGTGCAATACACACATGCACAAGGCCTTTAGCTGGTTTGCCAAGGGTGCAAAAAGACTGACATTGTTTTCTAGAACATTCCTGTGGAGAAAACTGGTATTTCGGCTTTAAGCTTAAGGTGACGGAGTGAAGGACATGACACTCGTTCTCTTACACACACACACAGGTAGACACACCGGTACTCACCAAGAATTGCAAATCAGTCGTCTAATGTGTACATATTCAGTCATGTCGCAACATGCGAATTCCATTAGTGGATATTCGGTTCGTGTTAACAAATGAGCGTTAATCAGCGCAGGACGCGTTAGTGAAAGAGAGACAGCGAGAGAGAAAAAAAACGAAAAAGCGGCAAGCATATGGCCGTGTCCAACGAATTCTTCTGCGTGTTGTATACGCTTATCTGTTATTTATGCTTTTTGTCTAGCCATTTAATTGTAGACATATTATGTATATATGTAGGGCAGCAGAAAAAAGCATTGTGTAGCCTACTTAAGAGCACACGCACACATTAATACACACACAGGCACACAGGCACACGCAAACGCATTCACATCCGATTTACAAATTGGCCCAACTACCTTGATTTATCCTCTGATATCAATGCATTGCTGCAATGGTACTGAAAGCCGACATCTTATTAATATGCCATTCATTTGGCCGCTTCATAGTTCATTAAAGCAGGAGTCCGAGTCGTTCATCCTGGCGGCCGACTTGGCCGCAAAGTGCAGCCAGCAAAAATTATGCGGCTCGTTTGCCATTGCCACGTTTGTAGCTACAGCCCATGGCCAGGGAAAGGATCTGGGACAGGGACTGGTTCTGGCTCTGTAGAAGAGCCATTCGTTTATCCTTTTGTTCTCATTTATTTGCATGTCATTTGTTTGGCTCCTTCGCTTTTTTTGCATGTGGTGGTGTGTGGTTGGCATGTATGGTTGTTTCATCAGTCACGTTTGCCAGGACGCCAGTTACTTATGGCTGTTGTGTGCATTATCAATATGCATTGTACGGCAACGCTCTACGCTTTATATTTTATCAATGTTTTCATACCTCACCCATGGATACTTTGAGTTTCTTAAAGTATACATAAATATCGATAAGTAATATCAAAATTTCTTTTATCTTTGATACTTGATTTGGTATGAAAGGAAATGATTAGTTATTAACTATAACTAGTGGACGTCTTTATGCCTGAACCTTTGATTTTTTCACATTTATTTTCGCTTGAAACATTTAAAAGCATCAGCAAAAATATTGAAGATACTTTTTCCGACGGATAAGGTAAATGGATGGATGCTTATCAAGGATGATCATGATCGCAAATGCCTCTGTCTACCGATTTTGAAGCCGGGATGGGCGTAGAGCTTTAAGGGATAATGCTTGTTAAGAAATCGGATGGAATATTGCTTTAAAGAATGTACACACTTCTGCATATTTACACTTCCTCAGTGCTCTGCACTGCAGTTTTAATAACGAATTGCTTTTTTATGGTTTCCGGCTTATAGAACAGCGCAGAAATTGGCAAGAAAAGCAAAATTACAGCAAGAAATTCTTAAATCATTTGTTTATGTGTGTGTGTGTGTAAGTTTGTTTTTTAAAGCTGTTCGTGTTGCTGATGCTGCATTGTTGCTTTGTTAGGCAAGTCAAGTCTGTGGTAGCTTCCGTAGCTCGAGTCGCTGTTAATGTCGCAACAGTTGCCATTCCTACCGTTTCTACCTCTACCTCAGCCTCTGCCCCTGCCTCTGGCTTTATTCCTATTGCCGTTGCTCTTGTCGTTGATATTTGTGCGCCAGGCGTAATTAGTGCTCATGGCATAAGGCGCACTTCCTCTACGCGCAGCTCCTGTTGTTCTATGTCGCATCGTTCGCATCGTGGCACTGCGTTGCTTTCCATTCGTAATCAGTTTTTGCAGGCTCCAGCGCTTTGTGCTGCGGATTTACTAACTGGACAACGGCAGAGTGCAAACACACATACTAATACACAACCTCGGACACCCTCTCTCTCACACACACACAAACCCTCGCACAAAAACACGTCACACTGCCTCCGTCTTCGTCATCATGTTTGCCTCTTTGTTGTTGTTTTAACTTTAACAAATTTGTTATTTACGATTCATTGAATTCATTTTAACTAAGGACATGTCTTTGTGTTCACATGGAATTAAATAAAATTATATTAAATGAGCCAACCGAATAAAAGTAGCACAAATTTGCAAAGGAGAAAACCAAGTCTGGAATAGGTTGCTCTTGCCAAATTATGTATCTAGGTACATAAAACTGTATTATCTGACTGACGGACTGACAGGTTGGCCTGAAAGCTGAATACTTATGATCCTCCCCCAAAGACGGAAAATGGGCGCAAGATTATTTTTATTGTTGTTTTTGTTTACTGTTTTTCACTTCTCAAAGCGAGCAAGAGTCTATTAAGATTGTATATCTTTAGCAGCTTATGAATTGAAGGCTGAAATATGTACCTGGGCATCACCCACGGCAACTGCATAAAATTTGATATATTCCACAGATATAGGCTGCAGATCTACACCAAAAAATTGTTACATGGCTTGCGCTTAGTATTTATTTATTACTTATCATTGAAACTTTAATCAAATTTAGACAATTTATGTCTAAACGCAAGTTCCTTATGCCTGTTTAAATAAGCTTTGTCTTAAAATTCAAGCATAGTTATCAGGTTAAAAAAGAAAAACAAAATATATTTCTGGCTGTACACTAAGAATTGTGGTGTGCTCCCTAGTTGATTCAACTTTCAATGCTAATTGCCATTTGGCAACTTTCGCGACTTGATTCAAACTTCGATTCCCATTGGACAATGAAAGCATTCCATTTTAGTTGTTTGACTACGACTCGATTGCCGTTTGCCTTGGCCATTGTTTGAGTTCACACAGCCTTACCATTAATTTCACAATTAGTTAGCAACGGCTGCCAAAGCGACGCGGAGCCACCAGGGAACCACCTGACGGCAACTCAAGACAAAAATCCAAGAATCTTTAATAATTTTTCTACAGCAGCTGTGTGTGTGTTTGCGAGTTGTAGTTGTGTGTCTGTTAATTTTGCCCAACTATTATTCAATTATTTGTATGCGAAAACTCGGAAAACTACGTGTTTCTACAATGACTAAAATAATCAGAGGGTGTAGCTTTTTGCAAGGCTTCGACCAGGCATTTTTGCTGACTAACTTTTAACAACAACAACAGTCGAGCGCGCATAA